CCAGCGTCGCCGCGCCCGCGACAGCCCATTACGGCGGGCGGCTGGCACGGGGCAATACCATTACGGCGCGTGTTTAAAACTTAATTAGTTGTTAAAAACTGACGGCGGCCGCGCGCGCGGATGAGCAGGCCCAAGTTTGTAATGGGCCGCGCAGGTGCGCCGTTTTCCGAGCGCGCGTACAGCGCTGCCGGCGGCGCGCGGCGGAACTGCTGACAGCGGCGCAGCGCTCGTCGTGGAAGGCCCGCGGGTGTTCTCCTTTTGCGGAAGGACGGGTTGTGACAGTTGTCAGCAACTCGGGCGAAGGGAGGAGTCGTCACCTCGTTTGTTAGGGAAGAGACAGAGCGAGAGAGAGAGGGGGGAGGGAGAGAAAGAGCGCGAGAGAGAGGGAGAGTGAGAGCGAGAGAGGAAGAGAGAGGGAGAGATATAGAGGAAGATAGAGAGGCAGAGAGAGGAAGTGAGAGAGAGAGGAAGAGGGAGAGAGAGAAAGAAAAAAGAAGTGAGGAGAGTTAGAAGAGGAAAGACAGAAGAGATGGAGAGAGACAGTGACAGAGAGAGTGATAGAGGGAGAGAGTGATAGAGGGAGGGTGTGGGAGGGAGCGGAAGAGAAGAGAGGGGAGGGGAGGGATAGCAAGAGTATATTTTGGACGGAGTTCCTTTGATAATATAAGGCAGATATTTCGGAAGGGTATGAGGAAAGAGTTCATGGTATCATTGTCCTTAATGGGCATTCAGCATTTAAGATGATCTGATAGGCTAGGAAAATGAAACTTCATGTTCTGTTATCAATTAGTGACTTGGGAGTAATATGAGGGAATTGAAATGCTTTACGCATTCATTCAGAGCGTTTTAGTTTGGCAATACGATCATTTGACGAATAGATCTTATACTGCAGATAATTTTTGTGGCCTTAATATGCCATATTTTAGGAACGCTAAAACGAGTTCTTATCTTTTTAGGTTATCTTTATAGACCGAGTAATAGTGCAATGTGAAGGGTAGCTATAGGGAATGTTACTCTTTGAGTTGAACATTTGTAAGGCATTTCACATTCATCTTTGATATAGTTACGTAAAGCGAAATATATATTATTATAAATTCACAGTGTCAGAAAATTTGAAACGCAAGATTACTCGTACTTCGGAATTTTATAGTTAATATTAGCATGTATTAGTTATATCAACCCAATATGATTGAAGTGATAATTTTTTATGTAAAAGGTATTAAACATGTGGAGGAAAAATGATAACATATTCTCACGAAATATCTGAGTTGCCAGTTATAAACGTATAGTAATTATTCGAGGATTCACTTACTAAAAATATTGAGGTAATTCAAATGTAAACCTCATTGAAATGTTAGAAATGTTGGACTGCTGCGTGTTGTCTACTCACATGAGCGGCCGATGCGTGCTGATGACGAAGTCGGGCTTGGAGTTCTTGTAGACGAGCCGCGACGACGTCTGCAGCCACTGCCAGCCGCCCTCCTTCGTCTGGAAGCGGTACGCGATCATCCCCGACGCGCCTGTCTTCAGAACTGCAACATTTGCACGCGGTCACTGCGCGGTTCGTCGCAGGGCTGGAAGCGCTTCCGCGGTAAAAATAGTGCTTGGAAGAGGGAGGCTTAGGAAGAATTTCGCACCTAGTTCAAGTCGTTTCAAAGAACGCGAGGAAAAGAAAAAAAATTGTCTATGCTTTTGCGAATATTAATAACAATTATCCGAGTAACACAAATTGTTTGAGACAGTCAAAAATAATTAATTTTTGTAACAAACAGTTGTTAGCCGACAACAAAAACTAGTATCACATGTTCCTTTTTACTGATAGTAACAAACAAAAAGTACTAATTTATCATCGCTTTGTAAAAGTAATTTGAATAGTTGTTTATGTAGACAATGAAACCTGATTAACGGTTCTTGAAACATGCAACTTGCCACTCTGCTTCTCATCCGTGCAGGAAAATAAGTAATCAAGTTCTTAATCTTAATAAAGTCATTAAACGTAACAACATATGACTTTCAAAATGTGATTATAACATGTCGCATTTGATATAACAATCGCTTACAGACGTAACAAATTGCTGTTGAAATAAATGTTCGTAGTTGCTGGTAAAAACATCTATTTTGACGATTGAATAATCACAGAAGGTTTATGAAACGAATGGCGCTGCGATACCACTTACTTTTTCGCAAAGTTTGGAACTTTTCAGTTTTCGAAAGATCAACAAAACTTAGATCTGCGCCGTTTCGAAAGCATTCTTTGCTCTACCCGAAGGAAAATGTAAACAAAAGCTTAGGGGTATTTTTTTTAAGAAAATAAATATTTAATTGCCATTATTTCAAACAGAAATTACGTAAAAACATCTTGTATTAAAAAAATACATGAACTTATTTCGAGACCTGTCTTTGAAAAATAGATTGCATTAAGAAAAAAATCTTTATCTTAATTTTTGTAATTGTAGCAACACACAGAAAAATGAACCTTTTTCGATTTTCGAAAATTCAGGAATTTCAACAAAAATGAGTCCTTCACGTAAGTACGTCCTTCACGGAAGTAATTGACCAAGAAAAGAAACTACTATAGGAAGAAGATTTATGTACATTTTTGATATTAGGTGTCCTATAATACGAGTTTTTCTGACGAAAGATCTCCGTCTCTGGCCCTAGCCTTACATAGCTATCTCCACACGTTAGAAGTATGCGAGAAACTAAAATACCGATGTATGTTAGTATTGTATACATAAAATATTGTTATGTATTTAACTACGAGTATAACACAATAAGACTTAAAATGCTTGAAATCTTTCGAAAATGGATCGTGATTGTTCAGTTTTCGAGTGAATAGCCCTGTTTTTTTACCTCAGCCAAAGAGGAAGTAATAAATCGAACTATTATAAACCCTTACGATAAATTGCATCGTATTTTGAAGAAGATACATATCATAAACAATAGAAATGATTTTAAGCTTCCTAAAGCATTAAAAGCTATAAAAACAAATAATCAGCGACGGGGCTCTGAGCCCCCTGTCTTGGTGGTGCTGGAGTTACTATTTATAAAAGTTTGAGTTTTTGAAAGGTGCCGGTCAACATTAATGAGTGCACGTAGGCTTTCGCGGCTCGAGTTCATGACTTCTTGGCTGCCCGGGTGACGCCGCGTCGTTGGTAGTGACCAAACTACCCTGAAGAAGCCTGCGATATGTCAGGCGAAACGTGGGCCATTCAGCCAACGACGCGTCGTGCCCCGGGCAGCCAAGAAGTCATTAACCGGGAGCAAGCGTGTGTGGGCGGAACTCACGCTCTTGGTGCGCCGAGGCGACGTAGGCGAGGTCGTCATAGTGCACGAGGTCGTAGCCGCCCAGGTTGGCCAGCTCGGCGTCCGAGTAGCCCAGGAGCAGCTTCCCGCGCTGGTCCATCGACACCAGCGCCAGGTCCAGCTTGTGCTTGCTCTTGAACATGACCTCCTTCTGCGGGATCTCGAGCAGCGACGGCGGCCCGAACGGCGTGCAGATGGCGAACAGCGCCAGCGGCGGCTCCTCCGTCTTGCGGTTCTGCCCGTGCAGCACCTTCACGCGGCCGCGGATGTCCAGCCGCTGACACACACACACACACATCCACATCCATTAAAATATCCATCGACTTGCCAAACACATGTTCAAAATTAAAACTTCCATGTTAACAGATCGACGAAAAACCATCGATGATTTCAAACTTCGATTTTTTTAAAAGTTCCTTTTATAACCTCTAACATTAAATTCGTGCACAGCAAAATTTAATTTGACTGTGGCGTGTACAATAATTTATAAATAAAGTGTAACTGTAAAGAAAATTATAAAACGCTTCCCCATTAGCGAAAAATGAGGAAAGATGGAGGAAGTATCAAGTTGTCAGTGTCATCTCGAGCGAAGTGTAGTCTGCTCGATGAAGATAGTACAAACAGCGTACGTTTGATTCGTGCTCGTAGTCAGTGGTGCCATAAGTTATTTTTTTCATATTTCAACTGTTACACAATTGTGTTTATGGGAAGTTGTCATCCACGGACAGAAAATCAAAAACATCGAGTACTATACACCGACGTTAAAAAATATCGGCTTCAAATCATTGATTCGTAAAACATTCAATTTTTTTATAGAAACATCGATGTTTTGAAAACATCGGTATCGTTGTCGTTTCAATAGTACTTGTACTCTCCGCCTGCGTTAAACACAGCTCTAAACAGGGGACTCTCTAGAGAGTTTTTTACTTAACATACTGTACAGCAATCGATATCACTATCGATTTTCTGGCCATGCACAGATCGTGATTTGCATCACTTTTGTGCATCTGTTAATGCGCAGAAAATCGAGATTTCAGACGACTTCTGTACGCAATGTTAGGCAAAAACTCCTTGATACGCTTTTTATTTAGTGTTTCCTGGCACGTCAACTACGATGGTCATTATTCCCGTGGATGTAGTACAAATTTATTTATTGTAACACAAAACGCGTCGCAGACTGGTACATAAAAATAAGTTATTCTTCAGGGTATTGAAAAAAGTAAAATACCAGTCCTGTAAGGGTGGTGCCGCAAATTATACACGGAAAAAAGTATTGTTATTATAAATTTTTTAACGATTCACAAAAATTACTCAACAAAACTAAGTAAATATTAATTTTTAGTTTAAATTAATGATAGTTGTCTTAACGAATTAATTGATATCCTTTCCTGGGTGTTTCGAGAAGACAGTAATTTCTACATCTACTTCCCTATCGCTTTCATGGTCTCTTTCCCACATTAAAGTTGCAAAAGATTTCACTTTCAATGTATTCTCAGACGGGAAACGCCGCTGTGCGGAAGGCAAAAATAGTGAATGACACAGTGAACGTTTGAAGTTCGGAGTAAAAAGAAAGGTCTGTCTGTCAAAATCAATTTACCCATCTGAAAATCATATTCACTTCCTCACTCCCGTTAAATTCAAATTAAAAGTCATCATTTACATTCGTACGATGTTACAACCAGACATTCCCTAATACGTTTCTTTATGATGTAAATTGTTTCAATTAACTCATTTAATTTGATTCGAATTGCAACCATTGTAGGTAACAACATAAAGAAATTATGGGGAAATCAATTTTCCCCATAAAAAACCTTATCCTGTCTAGTGAAACGTACGTCCAAGAGAAAGAATTCGAAAATAATGAAGTGAGAACCATAGAATTCGCTTTCTGTTCGCGTGGTCGAGGACTGCTTGATTACTTGATTAGTGTATCTGGGCATGTCAAAGTCTAAGGTTATTTGTCCCGTAAGTGTAGTGTATGTTTTGCTCGGGAGGAGGTGGTGGCGATTTTCCACCGCTGGATGGCGAGATTTAATGCCATCCTACCGTCGGCTAGCGGGGTTTACCCTAACCGCCAGCGGGGCACCGCCCCAGCCGGGACAAGCTCTTAAGCACCCAACTGGTCTCCTATATGTGGTAATATAGTGCATGTATGTGTACGTGTAAGTAAGGGGTGAGGATAGGACAAGGAATAGGAAGGAAAGATCGCACGCGGTCCGTTGCCCGTTTGTTAGGGTACTGCTCCAGCATTCACCAGGTGTTTATGGTAGAAACCACGGAGTAGTACCAACCAGAGCGGCCGTCCGTTGTATTGTCCTGCAGCCTGCGGCTGACTTGGACCGAGGGCTGGGAAGCCACCGACCGACGCGCTCCCCCTCCCCCTCGCCCACTGCCCACCGCCTCGCCCCGGGCCGCCCGCTCGCTGGCCGGCCCGCCACCCTCCCACGCATTATCATATCGGCCCGGGCCATCTGCCTTAACCGTTACTTTGTAATTATAAACAGTGCTTAATTAACGACACCGGGCCGTAATTGGCGCGATCATACTCGGCCTAATCTCGCATCGCGTCGCGTCATAACCACTAGAGGAGCAGCGCGCCCCGGCGGCGCTGGGCTATGCATATGCATACGCATATTAGCACCCTCCCCCCTCCACCCTTGCGGGGGTGTGAGGGCGGGGGGGGGGTGGTGGGGGGGGGGGGGGCGGGGGGGGGGGTTTGACAATGCGGCTGATCGCAGTGACAACTGACGCAGCCGGGGGGCGCGCGGGCGCAGGCGCGAGAGCGTCGGGAGAGGCTACGGGGGCGGGAGGAAAGAGGAACGTGTGAATTTCCAATGGAAGCGCGAGGGAGCGGATACTCCAATAGGTCGCATTAAGCTGAGCGGCGACGACGGGGCTGTGCCTTAGAAGAAGCAGTAGTGGCCACAAGAGTGAAAGGTAGGTAGATATCAATTACTACTATGGGGTTGTGGTGCTCGCGCAGAGGCGAGCATTGCCGGTCGGGGGCGAGGGTGAGCCGATAACGGGGGCGTAGCCCGGGGGGCGGGGGGGGAGGCGCGCGGGGCCAGGGAGGGCGGTGTGCCTAGGGAGCATGGGTTGGGACGTGAGGTGGAGGCAGGCCCGAGGGGGTGGGTTGGCTGGTTGCTAGCACGGAAAGAACGCGGCGGCAATCCGGGGAGGTGCAGGCTGATGGCTGGGCGGTTGGGCAGGCTGAGGGCGGAGCAGGAGAGGGTGGAGGAGGCGGGCTGTTGGGGCCGGAAGGGGGGTGGTCGGATAGAACGCGGTGGTCGGGAGAGAGGCTAGAGAGCGGCCAGTTGGGTGGAGCGGGGTGAGAGGAGATGTCGGCGGAACAGTGGATGGCGGACGCGGGACGGGGATGTCGGGCGAAAGGAACAGCGGCTGCGCTGACATATTGAAGTATCCGGGGGAC